CTGTGTGCTCAGCAGCACGGTGTGCAGGTCTGTGTGCTCAGCAGCACAGCAGCTGCTTGACAACTTTATTTGCCGACCACAGGCCTTGGCCAGGAATTAGGAACTAAATACATGGCTTGAAAGAACAGAAACTAAGCAGGGCTCGCAGCAATTGGTCCCAGGCAGGAGAGCTCTCACCATAGCAAAAGCTACACATTTTTTTAGCTGGAAAAGCACAGCTCCTGGATGCTCCTGGATGTTCTGGAAGAACGGCTGGACTCAGAATGGCAGTTGCTCCCTCTTCTGTAGTCAGTCACAAATGTCTGAGACGCTTCTGGTCCCTGGAGCTTCCCTTCATAGACCAGAAGCAGTGTCAGCAAACACCAGCACTGCAGGCTGCCAGCCTGGGCCAGCCAAGGGTGAAGGTTATCAGGGTAGAAGGATTGAGAAATGGAGGGGAATACCCAGGCTAACAATCTGAGGACATGGGAGAATAGGAGCAAGTGACATTTCGCCTCGAAGTCTTTTCCTCACCCATCAAGGTGCTAGAGAGGTGCTAGTCCCTTCCTCAGCTAACGGTTAAGTAAAAACAGGGCTAGACAAGCTTGCCATAAGTGTATTATTTTATGCAAATGCTGGCTGTGTTACTGTGGCTTTTACTACCACTTTCTGACTTCAAGCTAATCCATTAACAAAAGTATTTACTAGCGTTCTAGCAGCTGGTTAGTACAAAAGGCCCCGGCACAGGTCACCTACAGGCTCACCATTTTCATCTTTATGCAACGCCTGCTGCTGAGTACTCGCCACATGCAGACACTGGTTAACGATCCACATGGCACATGAAATGCTGCTGTCTCCTTTAGCATGTTTTCACCTAGCAGCTACATAGGAGTTTCAACTGTATAAAAGCTTTCTGTTTCTGTTAACTCATTATTGAAATCCGACCATCCCACAGAACCCTTATAAAGTGAACAGTTATTGTACCCATTCTACAGAAAACAAAACCAAGATAATCTTGGGCAAGATTGCTCAGCCCACTCTGCTCTACCCACTAACTTATGCGATGTGATCTCCTGACTGACAGTCTTATTTCACAGCACCTGGCCTATTCCTTCCTTACCCTAGCCATGTTGTGCTAGGGTCACTGAGAGGGTTAATTCCATTTCCTTTAAAATCACAAGGTCAG